GAATGTCAGATGAAAGAGAGAAGCCGATAACTAGTACATTCTAGAAACGATAAAACAAGAACCTTCCATAGCGAACAATTCGATGCTTCTACGCTTTCGTCTGCGAGCAGCCGACTGCTATATAAGGGCGACACTCAGCTGCAAGTCAAGTTAGTTACAAAGTGAAGTGGTTGGCGTTAACATCAGTAAAGTAAACGCGTTGGAGATTACATTTAAGTAAAGTAAATTGTGAAAGTTAATGATAGTGATTATAAATAGTAAAGTGCATTATATTTGAATTGTTAATTATTGAGAAAATAAAGGACATTAGATTAACTTCTTTGTAACGAAAGAAACTGCAAATTAAGTTGGCGAGTTTCATTTAACAATCCAGAGATCGTACCCGAAAGATTTAGAAAATAATCGAGGTTGATTTAGTAAAATCGTAACAATATTTTCATTCATAGACGCATGCGCTCTTTAACAAAGTGAAGTGCGTTCATTCATAAATACCACCGCGCATGCCATACCAACAAGTTGCTTCTTCGCGACAGTGTCAAAAAACACCAACTCATAAAATCATTATGGACGCGAGAAGTGAGGCAACAACGGTTGTTTGTAACATTCATGTGTCATCCACAAGCATTGCTTCAAATTCTTCCCACTGACAAAACTTCAATCATCGTCTGCAGAATTGAAGCAAATTGGCATTGTGCTACTAAATATGCTGTTCGCCTATTACTTCATATAGCACAGCAGACTTAGGTGCCTTTGCATGTCAGTCACCAATATTCTAAAAGTTCTAGAAAACTCTAGAATATTATAGAATATTTGATTTCAATGTAGAAAAGTAAAATGAAGCATAAAAGCAACAGTTGCAAACCCTCTTTCCTTCGACTCTTTATCGACAAACAGTTTCCTCAAGTCGAAGTCAAATTTTAGCAAATATCTAAAAATTGATGTTGGACTCACGGCAAAGTGAAAACTAATACATGCAAGCAATTTAATATGTATAAGCAAAACGCACACAATCTTAATAATGCCCGAGCCCTTACTTTTAAACCACACCATCAACAAGCGATTTCTTCGCGACGATCACAAAATTTTGCTAGATTTCATATTTTTGGCGTTTTGGTGTACGAATTCTGGTACAGTAAACTTTGTATACCAAGAATATATCAGTCACTAGTCAACAGCTTTAGGAGTGATTCGTATATAACATCATTGATTTGAAATTTGTATTGAAATCTTTAATTGTCCTAAGTTAATTACCCTTTTTAAATAATAATCTTAAAATTTTCATAATTAAAATATGCATTAATTTAAAAATCGAAGATTTTATAAGTCATAGGAGTCATTTGTATATTAGTTGTTAATTAATTCCTAATCGATTTTAAGTTTCTATTAAATTTTACATTATCTCGAATCACTTAGCACTAATTAAATTAAAAATTCATGTTTAATAATAATAAGTCTTTTTTTAAACATTTGTTTGGCATTCATTTAAAATGCGTTTGGTAATTCTGAAGAAAAAGTTCAATCTATCGAGAGCGCGATTTGCTGTTGTCGAAGAAGTCACAAATTCATCAAAAATAGTGTTGTCATGGTGATGGCGTGGTATTTTTTGCTAGCTATGTACGTTTTTGCTTCTTCTAAACACATTTATATGTACATACATGCATGCATATATACTATATATGTACATATTGTTGCGAAAATGCGAGGCGAATGTCAGATGAAAGAGAGAAGCCGATAACTAGTACATTCTAGAAACGATAACAGGAGAACCTTCGATAGCGAACAACTCGAGTATTCAACACTTTCGTCTACAAGTAGCCGACTGCTATATAAGGGCGACAATCAGCTGCCAAGTCAAGTTAGTTACAAATTGAGCTCGTTGTCGACAACATCAGAACAGAGTAGTGCGGAATAAACTATTTGTTTATATTGAGTCGTAAAGTAAACGCGCTGGAGATTATATTTAAGTAAGGAAAATTGTGAAAGTTTATGCAAGTGATAGTAACTAGTAAAGTGCATTGTAATAGAATTGTGAATTACTGAGTATATAAAGGACATTAGATAAATTCTTTGTAACGAAAGAAACTGCAAATTTAGTTGGCGAGTTTTTGTTTAACAATCCAGCGATCGTACCCGAAGGATTCAGAAAATCATCGAGGTTGATTAAGCAAAATCGTAACAATTGGTGTCAGAAGTGGGTTTGTTAAATAAATCCCAAAGGATAATATAATATTTGAAAAATGGTAACGATTCAGGATTTGACGATACCTTCTCTCAAGAGGAAGTTGGCAAAGCGAGGATTATCGACAACTGAAAATAAGACAGAGCTGCAATCGAGACTGCGAGAAGCAATGGAAGTTGCCGGCATCGACTTGAACCAGTACGAGTTTCATCGCGCGGATGAAGATGTATCCTTGAAGGACATTGACAAGGAACAGGCTGATGATTCTGTGAAGGAGTTTGAACCACCATTAAGTAATATTCAAGAGAAGGCTCATGGCTCTTCTAAGGGTATTGACATGAATTTGTTATTGACTGCGATCTCACAAAATTTGTCTGAAATGAGAGCCAACATCTCACAAAAGTTGGATGCACAAA